AAGATTGTTACACTGAATGACATTTTAGTGGGTCTCTTCTGTAAATCAGGGGAAAATGTATGATATTTATTTTTTGCTTGGAAACACAAAAACAAAATTGCAATTAAATTGGAAACACAAAAACAAAATTGCAATTAAATGAAACAGAAAACTTTTGAAATTTTTTTGGGGGGAAACAACAACAATTTAAAGCAGTATTACACTTATTGTTTTTATGCTTAAACCCTTTTTCGTCTTTGACCCATGTATTAATAAATAATTATTAATGTTATGCATTTATTAAATACTGAAGTTTATAAATTTGACTTCAGTTCAGTTGTGTAGCATTTGCTTGTTATTTAGATTTATTAATATTTTGTGTAAATTGTCCTGTTTCAGTTTAATTCTAGGGTCAGATTCTCATTGTTTTGTGCCAGAAAAGCACTTCTTGTGTAAATGATATCATCTTGTGGTTAGCAGTTAGTTAGTTTATGGTATAAATAACTACCTGTTCAAAAGAATAGCTTGATTTTATTTGAAAGTCAGCTGGAAATCAAAATGGACTTTCTTAGTTCATTGTGAACAATTTATCAGTGGATTTTATTCCAAAGGATTTATTTTTAAATATTTGTTCATCTTTCTCATCTCTCGTCTCATTTTATATAGAGATATTTTAACCATCTTGTTATAGTAAAATAATTTTGATAAACTATTCGTTTTTTTTTTTTTTTCTGGAATCAGTGTTATTTTAGTATTATTTATATACTTTTATAATATTTATTAATGTTTAAAATTAGTGTTTATTTTTGTGTTTTTGTCATTTTGTTATGTTTTTGTCATTTTTTATTCATTTTGATTATTATTATTTTTTTAAATTTCAATTCGCTGCCAATTAGCTTCTAATTTTGATTTACTTTTTTGTAGTGTTGTAATCTAATATTTATGTTTTAGATATTTATATTATTTTATTTACATTTATACTCAGTTTTAGTAGTGCTGTCAAACGATTAATCGCATCCAAAATAAATAATATATGTGTGTGTACTGTGTATATTTATTATGTATATATAAATACACACACATGCATGTATATATTTAAGAAAAATATGTTGTTTATATATTAAATATATTTATTTATAATATAAGAATATAAATATATACATGTAAATACATGTATGTGTGTGTGTTTATATATACATAATATACACAGCACACACATATTATGTAAACAAAAACGTTTATTTTGGATGCGATTAATGATTTGACAGCACTAGTTTTAGTTAACAATAACACTGTATTAAATATTCCATTTTACATCATATTATAGAAGCAAAATTGTTTGTGAATAGTGTTTCCTATTGACTCGTTATTTAAATCAGCTTCCTCATAATTAATTAAATATTATTATAAATGTATTCCCTCTTATATGAGCTTTAGAAAGGCCTCAGAATTGTGAGCGGTCATGTTAAATTGGCAATAAAGCGCAGCAGTTGTTAATGATAATGCTGGTTTGTTATTGTGTAGCGTTACAAAGCTTTAATGAAGCACGAAGACTCCAGCTCAACCTCAGCAGACCACACCAGTCCAGATCAAACCTGTCTCCTCACTAAACCAGCCCCGCAGACACTACAGTCCTGCAGCAGCACCTCGCATCCCAGCGCACAGGAAGTCCAGGCGCTCACACAGGAAGTCCAGGCGCTCACACAGGAAGTCCAGATGCTGGCACAGGAAGAAGCCGTCGCCGTGGAGAATTTAATGTATGCGGTTCTTAATCTTAAAAAAATAATAAAATAGTGTGCAGACAGCATGATTTTGCATTACAGTAAGGTTACCTTTGGGGGGAAAGCATTAACAGTTCTGCATGTTCTTTATGATGGTCTGTGTTTGGTTCTGGTGCTGTTTTCTGAGAGACTGACACTGGACTGACTCTAGAATGTAGCAGCACTCGTAAACACATTTCATAAACCTGCAAACACATGACTGAAGATCCAGAAGAGAGACTAAGCTTGTTTTGCATTGGTCTGACACAGACACACACACTCGGACACAGATGCACACACACAGACACACACACACGCACACCCTTCCTGTGGTTTGCCAGTGATTGTATTCACACGCACACAGAGCAATCTTCAAAATGAAAACTGTAACAGGATTACTCCGAGACACCGCATTGTGTGACAGACATTGGACAAACTACAAAATATTGCATTTCCTGATATTTCTCGTTTTCAAGCAATGCTGCCAATCTTCTGGGTAAAAAAAAACCAACTCGAACGGTCAAAAGTACTCTGAAATAAGTGCAATACTCAGAAGATGGAAGAGTTTATTTCAATTCATTTTGCAGGGGCCGGGGCCGTGGCAGGACTCCTGCTAAGAGACGAGGACGAGGAGCGAGACGACGCTGAGACACACACAACTGCATCCGCCTCAGAGGACCTCAGTGAAAGCATTCACACCTCTGACCGTTTGTACAGTAGCTGTGTTTGTCATGAGCACACGGCCCTCAGACGAAGGGAATGATGGGATACGCCGCTGGAGCGCGAGTCTCTGAAGGGTTCACTTCCATCAAAACATCAACACGTTCAGCTCAGAGTTCAGCCCAAAACCAACAAGATGTACATCCATATTGATCATGAAAATGTAATGATAATTCAATCCTAGTCCTAAAAATAGGTCTTTTTAAAGCAAATTTTCAGCATTATATATATATAATCAAGAAGGATTTTCTAGACAACTAAAAATGGTCTCGTTTTCAGAAAAAACAAGTCAAAATTAAGGGAGTTTTTGCTTAGAACAAGGAAAATAATCTGCCACTGATGTAAGCAAAATAATGTTATTTCAAACAGAAAGCAAGATTATTTTTAGTTGTCTAGAAAATCCTTGATTTTATATATATATATATATATATATATATATATA